TCTTCATGCGATCCTCCAAAGGTTTGGTAGAGACCTAGGGCGAGTGATACCACGGCTGCGATGCAGAGAAGGATAAGCACGCGGTCTTGTAGGGCGATCCATGCTAGTTCAAGAAACGACTTTGACTTTGGTTCCGGGAGGCGATTCGCGCCGTATACTCGTTTCCGATCAGGGAATGCATCTTTTCCTGAAGCGTGCGCATCACTATGCGTCGCCTTCTCAACCTTTGAAGACGTCGCTTCCTCGAATGACACGGCGCCCGCGAGCTTTCCCTCATCCACGCTCAATCCAGCCTTTGCATCAGTTCTCAAGCCCTTCTGCAGACCGGGCAAACCACCGAGCGCAACAAAAGCGGCCAAGTTCTTTGGGTTAATGAGTTTCGCCAATTGACCAGGCGAAAAAGCGAATGGGTTGTTTTCCACGTGAAAGTGATCTTCCTCGCCGGGGTCGGGCTTGAGGATTTCGGCTTGGTCGCCTTTTCTTAGGGCTTCTACCTCGCGAGACATTTGTTCATGATCAGTCCCGACTTTTGTAGACGGCGACGAGGACCATGATTCGGTTCTAGATTTTGCTGTCGGTACCGCAAGAGTGTTCGTATCGTCTAGCGGAGAAGGAGAGATTGAATCTGCGGGTGCTGCTCAATTACATACATGTTAGTTTTACTGCATCGTATGATGAGAGCAAGTCAGTCATCGCACTGGAGAATTACCGGGATCGTTTGAGTCGACAGCCGCAGTGTCGACGGTGATTGTAGGAGCGCGCGGACGTCGTGGAGTGCTAGAGTCCATGTTGACGTGAGATGGAATGTGTGGTTCATGAGAGAAGGGGGAAAAAGGTGAAAAGAGGAGAAGCCAAGATATTGAGACTTGAAAGCGCTGGGGGTGATGAGAGGATCAAAGGCAGGGGATGAAAATACACTTGGGACACAGCCACAGCCACGAGGCATGCCAAGATCCTGGGCGGGCTGTGTGATTGGTGAGGGCGAGGGCTAAGATGGTATTGCTTGGAGTTGCGAATCTTGGCGTTTGCAGGGGTATTTTTTGTTTAATCAGCGGGACTTGTCTGTGCAAAGACCTGCTAAACAAAGTAAACTGCCGCAATACTGGTATATTAATGAGAATAATAATAATGTACCACTTGACATTACAGCCATTTCCTTCACCTACTCACGGCATCTACTGTAGAGACACTGCTCTTGGTCAGTCTGTCGTATTCCAACCGCCAGCCAAGATCTGAACGCCCACTAACCGTCCAGGCCGTCCCCACCCCAAAATCACAAATCCAAGGTCCAGGTCCCCATAAGTCGCCCCACAACGTCACTGTCTAAGCCTCGTTTTTTAAGCTTAATAGCGCCCATCACGCTAGATCTCATTCACTCCTTCCCTCCCCGGCAACCTTCATCTCCCTCCGTTACGAGTAAAAAGGGGGCGATTTCATAAATCCAGTTTTTTAAACTTAAAAGTGCCTCTAGCGGTGGCTTTTGTATCTTTTAGTCGACGAGAAACTATCTCATCCTGTTATGTGCAGTGCAGTTTTATACACAGCCCGGTATTGGTCCACTTAGTCAGGTCATGCAGAGGGAACTTTGAGGATGGTGATGTTTGGAGCGAGGGGATTGGCTGGAGGTGCAAGAATTCTTGAATCGAATACATCATGCATGATATGATACCCGATTCGGCAGTTCGTTGGGAACATAACGTGTTCAAGGCACGTTAGACGGTGAATAAACACCGTTGGCAATGGAGATTGGAAGTCATCGTACGTGGCACTGGAGACTTTGCACACATGACAGACCCGCCAGTGACATCTCACCCTCTCCTCAACTTGATAGCGCCGATTTGCTCCAGTGATCCGATACAGTATGATCGCGCATAAAACAACACACACACACATAAAACCAGAAACTTGCCCGTAAAAAACAAGGAGGCCACCCGTGATTTGGATGCCGGGGCAACCCCTGTCTTTGGTTAAGCTTAATTTCGCTGCATGTTTTCTCTGCTTCCATGACGTCAGTGAAGGCGGCGGCAACCGAGACACCAGGATATTCATCTCGGGAGGTTCTGAATGGAGAAGGACGGTGTTTAAGCTTTCAGCTAAGGTAGAACGGGTTTTCTGATCGGGGCGGTGCTGAGGCTGTGGAGGGACGCGTAGATTGATTGTGTTTGTTGGGAGAGGCAGCCGGGAGGGAGGAACACCAGATTTGAGCTTGTGATGATGAGGTGAGGACGTGGTGAGGAGGCAAATGGAGGCGGAGGTGTTGCGGTTGATTGACGCGTTTATGGTGACGACGTGACTATGGGGAGGCAAGTAGACACTTAGCTTGAACACCTGCGATATCAGGTAAATAATTCCTGAGGACGAATTTACTGCCTGATGATCAGGATTGATCGTAAAGAGTCTGATTACCATTTGCGTCGTTGTCGCACTGTTGCATCTTGGGCTTGGGCAGTCAAGATTAGTTGACAACCTTCGGGCATGGGAACCTTTCCCGATGAACATCGCAATAGCAGAAAATCTCGGAAAGCAGTGATCAGCTTTAAATCGCCGATGTCTTTGATTGCGTAAGTCTTCCTCTCCAGCGCAGAATAACATTACGCGGGATAGATAGATCGAGGTGAAATGTCAAATGCGCATTCCTACCCGGGACCTTTAATTTTATTCTACGGGCAAGCATATTTGAGAGGAATTGCTGTACATTACAACGGATTTACCACGGGATTTTATCGAAGTTGACAATAAGATGAGCCAACTAAGAACTTCATCCTACAGCTCATGTGCCGAATCTCTTGCCTTGTCTGCAATTGTAGTCGGTCATCGCCATCGCGTCAATCGCGCCGTGCAGAAACGTTATGGAGCACGCGACAGACCGTATATGGCTCGACATAAACCCGCGGCTGGTGATCAAAGCGGACATGGAATGGAATTCTCGAGACTACTTCACATAATGTCGTCAAGCAAGATTAACGTCAAGACTCTTTCTTGTGCGTTCACCTTGCAAACATGATGGCTTCATAAAACCCAAGTCGAGCTGCATGTACAATGCTTACGCTTGGAGTCAGGTTGCTGCCCATCATCTTGGAAGCTTCCGCGGGTTTACTACGTTTAGAGGCAGAAGGACAGCTTGAGAGTGGTCTGTCGCTGTTCACGTTTCCAGGTGAGCTACAAGGGTTCATCACCGAATGCTAACCAATCGTAGCTGTACTGCGACATGTCGCATCTACTCAGATGTAGAGTCGTAGCGACAACTGGCATACAGTCTACGTCGCGAAACTCAACAGCAAGCTGAGGAAGGCCGCGACAATGAGTTGATGGAAGAGCTAACTGGCTTAATCAAGACCTTAGGGTAGCCGTCTTGCATCTTCCACCAGTTCTAGCCGAATCGCGGTTCTTACGACGCGAAAACACCATTCCGAAACTTTTGCAAGGGATGAACATCGAGCGTAACGAGTCGAGTAGCAGAACAGGTATTGGAATCGATCGTAACGTCGGGATAGGTTCTCGACGGGGTTGCTATTCGAGGACGCATGCGCGGTCGTGCACGATGGCTGGAGAACGAGTCGCAGAGGGACAGAGGAAGGTCGGCGCAGACGAGAGGGGAACTAGAGTCGGTTATTGCGTCCGACGCTTGTTTGGTGTGTGCCTACATTGTCATAGCTGCCATCTTGATCCTCAGCACCAAGTCGTTGTCGAAGAACAACTAGAGCTATGCGATGCTGTCTGAGAGGCATATTGAGTTACGATAGAGCAGCGACGCTGGCGATCGCGGGCCAGTCGCGGGAGGGGCGGCGAATCGTAGGACGAGACGAGGATTGAGGCAAAAGAGTCGACGAGGAAAACTACATGTTTCCGTGGACTTATAGCTCTTCAGTTCTTGGGAACTCACAGCGCTCCTGGCTCGCGCATCGCCCACGCGCGATGGGTTGGTGGGGTTTCGCAGCGGGGAAGGCATTTCGAATTGTCGCGTGAACTGGAAGATGTTGAATGACGGGGAAACACCACAGCGGACGCGGGGGACTCGAAGGGAATGGCGCAAAGCAGGCGGTTAGAGAGACAAAGGACGATTAGGTACTCCTCAGGGAGCGGAGGCGTGGAACGCTAAGTCTGTAGGGTTCAGGTGTCGCAACAAGTAACCCCATCGACGGGACAAAATGTTGTCGGCAAAAGACTGGTCCTGGATTCAAGCGCAGCTAGTGCATAAATGTAATGATTTGCTCGACAGGTTGATTGCTCTGGCGAAACTGGCATGTTTGGGGAGCTCGCGCCACAGTGCGCCACACTCACATCCATGGTGCACTGCAACTTCAAATGATCACCGCGCACGCAAATGAAGAGATTAAAAGGTAAAACCAGGTGCAATTGATTCCTTTTGACTCAGAGATCAAAATGAACATCTGAAATTGGCGAAAAAAGAAACTCCTCGTGAGGGACTCGAACCCTCAACTTTCAGATCTCACATGTGTAAAAGTCTGACACGCTAACCAATTGCGTCAACGAGGACGTTGATTCGATGTGTTATTCCCTGCTCAGATCTTAGATTATATCTATACTATAATTTGCAGACACAGGGAATCTTGCTATCTTCTGCTGTATTCCTTTCGTCTCACCCAATGTACTTTAAACAATTAGTTACAAAAGTCCTTTATATTCTCTAGGCAAACTACAGTAAGTTAAAATAATAATGCCTTTTGCTGTTTTGTTAAACATTTAATATCAACTCCAGATCTAACTACCCTGCAGTTTCAGTACATGTCACAGTTGAACTTCCAACAGCAAAGACAGGCAAGCAACACAAAAGCTATAAGATCCATGCATCAGCATCAAGTTAAGTGATTTCAATTGCCAAACTTAAAGACAGAACAATTGTGGCGGCTGAATTCCACCACGCGAAGTCCCGATCTAGTTTATTGGCTCTTTATTACAAGAACAATCATGAGATCTCGACAACCCATGAATACCTTGCGGCCATGCTCGCGCTCAAAAACCAGAGTCAGTAATTAAACTCAGCAGTAACGGGCATACTCAAAATACCGGAAAAACCTAATAGCCCGAGCTTTACACATAGACTTGTGGATGATACCACGCGCCTTCAGTTCCTCTTTAAGATCAACCCTGCTTCCCACCTTGATGACGATATTATGTCCATCGTACTCGACGACCCAATCATCCGCGCCAAAGATATCCCCAAGCGCCTCTCGAAGCTTCTCCATCCTGCAGAAACGCTTCTCCGGGAACTCATGCTTGAACACGAGCTTCTCAGTGTCGACAGCATTTGTGCTGCCCCATCTTTTGATGATAACCATTGTGGCGTGATGTTGGGTCTTGTATTTGATGACTTGGATGGGAGTGTATGAGGATGATAAGCCGGGGCATCTGGGACCTTTTATAGGGACTCTGGAGATGAAATGCGGCCAGCGTTGACACTGTTTGTGCGGCTCACTTGCTGAAGTAACTGATTATGAGAGCATCGATGTCTGCGATGATACGAGAGCTTGAAGAATCACAAGACAAAGTTCTCCCTGAGTACGCCTGATGATTCATGGCTAATTGGCATATGCCAGCTATCAGTTGAACAATGATGAGCTCCAGTGAGTCGCTGCGAGTGTCTGAAGCACTTGGTGCCCCTTCACGAGATCAAGTCATGGCAGTATTTAACGAAGGGGGCCATTTTGACGTTCCCCATGACCGTGATGAGCTCTATGAATAGAGTAAATAGACCTCTGTCAGTGATATAGTAGACGTCGGATGGAGATCAAAGGAAGCTTTCAGTGCCGTTGCAGCCATTTGTGTGCTTTGCCCTTGTGTTCCTCAGTCACCCACAGATTTATGCACGTAGAGTCACGATGAAGAATTTATATGCTGACGATCACGTCCCCTGAGCATGGGGATGCTTGACCCAGCGCAAGGACGATGGAACGAAATGACCCCAAGATCAAGTATAAATAGACCAACAACCCCCAATATTTCCCTTGCCAAAAGCTAACACAACCAAACCTCCACATATTACCATCACCAACACTAAACAAACCATGCCTTCTGGAACTTGCACCAAGACCAATCAGGGAGCCGCTAAATGGTCCTGCGAACATGACATCAAACTCGTCCTCATCAACGACAAGGGAAAATTTGAAGATGCACTGAGAGATATTTATCCTTTTGGGTTCAAGGTCGACTACAAATACAGCCCCAGTACCTGCCGTGTTACTGCGCTTGCGAAGACCAAAGAGCCAGCCGACCTGCAGAGAAAGCTCCAAGATGTCGGTGCTATTCTCCAGGGCCGGTTCGGCCGAAGAGGATGAGAGCTGGGATGAATCGTCCAGTATCACGGGGAGGGAAGAGACGCGTACATCGAATGTCATCTTGGGATGCCGGCGGTTATGAGCTACCTGTAGTTGTTACATAGGAATCACATAAGTTAAACTGCGATGAATGACGAGTGAATGAAGTGATGTTGTGAAATGGCCGATGGTTGTTCCAAGACCCCCGTAGTCACAGCGAACCTGAGAAGGTGTGAATCGAGAAGTGAAGAAACCTGAAAGCCGAGGAAGCGTGAAGAAGTTTTGCTATGGATGTTCTGAACCACGCACGTTTCGAAGTTTCAGGGCAGTGATGATGAGGTCTCCGAATACTCCAGATAGTGATAAGTTGAGACTCATTCTGTGCGGTGACTAGAAACGCTCAGCCAGGATCGAGTGTGAATGGAGTCACTATTAACTGCTTGCTCAGCCAGGTTCCAGCTATAAGTAACAGATGAACGAACAACAGCCAACAACCAGCAATCCAACAATCCACACCTTCACACAGAAAGTCTACGTCTACCAACAATCACTACACAGCAAGAATGACCGCAGATTCCACATTAGGAGACAACAAAGTATGGCATACGTTCACACGATACGTTCCAAAATGTTTTGTCGGCGACTATTCCAAGCTGGAGAAAGGGTTGAAGGAATACTTCCCAGGGGGAATTGACATCACATTTGAGAATGCGACCGCCGAACATGTGGCACAGTACAAAGTTATCGGGCTCCGAGACAGTCCCGATAAGATCAACCTTCAAAAGTTCCTCACAGAAGGTGAATATATTTTGCGGGATTGAGCGCGGAGATGAGGATGGGGGAGGCAACCACGAAGCTTGTAGGCCACGGTGAGAGAAGGTCTGTTATCTTTCATAGTCAAAGATACATAGTCCTGCAAAGAAAAATATAACTAAATTAACTGCAAAATTAGCCAGCGTAATCTGACGCTTTGCTGTTTTGAAAGATGAGGTGATCCCAGCAATCGTGAGAGGAAGAGTTGCGAGCAACGCAGCATGCGTGATAGTGTACCATATCTAGGCTACTAATCTCGCGTTTCACAAGAGGACATGAGACTGTATCTATCGAGAATAGAACAAGTGACCACGGTTGAATCGCTGTGTATAGAGCACGTCTGCGCATGTTGAATGACCTTCCAGGATTGTGTAAAGGAGTTTGTGAAGTCATGAACTGGAAGACAATACACTCATAATGAAGGAGGCTGATAGCCTGACGTTCGCACCTGGTTGATGGTGACAGTGTGCCTCATGCAACGTGAGTGACAGAAAACAGGCAGAGCACATTGTGTATAGATAGAGGCGACCAGTCGGTTGAACGGCTGGCCAAGAAGGAAACCGATTGATCACATACCCATTAAGAATCACACCCCAATTAATTCAGAATTATATTCTCCATAGCCACGATGTCCAGAGACTCAAATATCGGAGACAAAACTGAATACGATGTGCGCACCGTTTACATCCCTCTGAAGCTCGTTGAAGAAGAAGATCTAGAGGCTTTGCAACGCCAGTTGACGATCTTATATCCTGGTGGAGCGCACATGACACGCACAGAAGTTGGGGAGCTTTATAAGATTGAGGGACTCGTGGTCAAGGGCTCAGCAGATTTTAATCTGCTACACGAACTGCAGGAACTTAAGCTCGTCATGAAGGAATGAGAGAAAGGACACAAGAGAAGTGATATTAGCGAAGGAGTGTCGTGATGGATGACCAGGAAGGAGGAAGCCATGATCATGAACTTAATAGCTACATCCAAAGACAAGGGAAAGTGTTCATTTGGTTAGAAGAAACGCAAAGTGATGAAGTTTCAATGAGAAGGTCATCATGGTGACAGAATTGTGAATGCTACTTCACCGACTGTGTCTGCCGCATAGGTATGCCTGAAACGTTCAAAAACGCATTGAAGTCTTACCTGATTCAGTGAATTCTCTACACAAGCTTTACAGCAACCAAGGAAGTCCCGAGACTCATATTGGCTGAGAGGCCATTATCACACGACTCATTCACCATAAGTGAAGGGACCGTAAATCAGTGAGCTGAGGAGCTTGGTAATGTGAGTGAGGAATTGGCAGTAAAATGACTCCAATTTCAAGGTTGCTCAATGACAAAAGGTTGAAAATCACGCCCAAAAATGACTGTGACAAGTGTCTGCTCCAATGGCAGTGAATTTACTCAGGGCTGGAGATTGACTATAGAAAGAAGCGACCTGCCAGCCATTAGCTAGACAAACAGACAACATCAAAAACAACACATCAAATCCACCACAAACTCTCACATTCACATTCACATTCACTACCTACAACCATGCCTGCAGACCAAGAACCCCAGACTTATGGAAGTCAAATCACATATGTCCCCGTCCGTCTTGTCAAGACCTTGGAGACCTTCAAAGCGGCGTTGAGGAGACAATATGGTGAGGGAGTGACGCACCCCATCAAGAGTTCGCATACACAAGAGCCCATGTACGAGGTTACGGCGCCTCGAGCGAGTACAGGACCCGCAGATCTGGTCAAGACTCTGCAGGACGAGGGTGTTCTTAAGCAAGATGATGAGGAGTGAGAGGAAGACGTCCGACATCATGGATTCCGTCGCTGAGAGAGGGGAGATATGGCCACTGAAACGTTTGCTATCTCAGATACGATGAGACTAAATTGAACTTTTCACTTCACAGTTGCAGGCTTCAGTTGAGTGATGACGACAGGTGATTGTTCGTCCGGAGAATCACAAAGGGTGACTCTGTGAATAACCGATTCAGGAACTTAATTGCTGTCAAGAAGTGAGGATTATTGTATGCTGTATATTGCGATGACAGTGACACCGCCGTGGCCGCCTATAAATTGCATGGGAGCATCAGAAAACCGGAATTTCAATCAACATCATAACTCATTTATATCATAGCTACTCATAAAACGGACCCTTGAATTAGAACGTCTAAAGAACAATGGCAACTTACGGAACTCAAATGCATGACATCACCATTCGACTTATTGGGGACGAGACTGCTTTCGAAAGAGCTGTAGAGGCTATTTATCCCAATGGCGTCACGTTTACATACCATAGAACAGGTACTAATACTTCACCATGGCCAGTATGCAATGTTCAAGCAAATGCAAGCACTGGACCTGCTGATCTCGTCAAACATCTCCAGGATGCTGAGGTTATCATGAAAGAATGACGGAGGCAGGAAGATTGATGGAGAAATACAGAAGGAGGATAAATATACCGCACAAAGCTCTAGCGAGTTCAATGAGCTTAATGATGTATATGCAGTTACTTTAGCCACAGTATCTCAATATGAAGGCAGAAGCAGGGTGATGCCTACACGGTGTATACACCAAAAGGCTTGAGATTTGTGAGTAGGAGATCATCTCGAAATGATTACCAATCCGCTTCTGAAACTAAAGCGAAGTGAAATTAATTGAATATTCAAAACCTGGGGCCCTCGTGAGCGGAAGGGTCATGGAGAGTTTCGCATGTTAGGGCACGGCTGACAAACTTTATACAAATGGTACAATACAAGCTCTCCGTATCATCGGAGCAACCGTTTTGTGGCCATTTACATGCCAACAGCGGATAGGTAGTCGAAGTAACTATTTCTCTACTGTAAGTTGGCTCGCAACGAATGAAGATGAAAGTCAGGCAGAGCTCATCAGGAAGCGGATATCCTGAATGAGGCCAGGTATTATTCTGTGTCGCTAATTAGCGACATGAGAAGCAGGTCCATGGCTTATGCGGTATAGAGGAGCTCTAACTTCTGCTTCTTCCACATAGAGATAAAGAGGCTTGCTACATGGTCTGCCATTTGTCGCTGAGAGCTGCGGCTGGAAGTTTGTCTTGACCCCGCGTATTTGAGTTGCATGATTGATGAGGCGCCTGGCCAGTGGCCACAAAAGAGACATAAAGCAGCTGGAGCGGACGCTCGGGCACTGGAGAAACTTAATTGATAAAGAAGGATTCTGGGTTTGATAAGATGTGCTAAACTTGTCAAGACAAATCACGGCTCTGCTAGACTTCTTGTATTCGTGCATGTGCCATGCTGTGTTCTAGATCTAAGTTGTAGATATATCGCTTAGGGTTAAATTGGTAAGCTCAAGGGTCTTATTGGTCCTTGATGTGTCGAGTGCGTGCTTGGTCCATAGAGTTCATTTTTATGGCGGCCATAATAATCACAAGGTTTGCAACTCCAGAGTGGACTCTGATTACTACGCAAGTTCGCAAAAGCCGTAACTCTATCATGAGGGGAATAAATATACGTGTACGCGGCACAGACCGTGTCTTTTCTAAAAGCGTACGCTACAGGATGTTGATTGTCAACTTGCTCAACATTGCCGTCTTGGGCCTCAGCAACCAGGTGTTTGCTTCAACTGTCGCAGGCAACAACACACTTGACGCTCGCGACCACCCACCACCTCCACCACCACAACCTCCCGTTCCTCCTCCAGTTCCTCCTCCTCCGCCCCCTGTTCCTACAGCAACTGCAGCAACCGCCGCAAACCAGTCAACGGTAGAGATTCACCCACGTATTGCCCCTCAAACCCACCCTATCCCAAGAATCCACCTCGTCCCACGGCGCCAACTCGACACCTTCGCCGGCAAACCCGTTCCTCCATATCGACCAATCCAACGGCGCGGCATCGCAGGCACCGACGACTTTGTCGGCAAACTACCAGACTTTGTAAAAGACGACAGGTATGAATGGAACAGCACGCAATACCCCGCCTATTCCCTCGGGAGGATTCTCCTGGCTGCAAAGTCATTTGCAAATGAAAGGAGAAAAGCTTGCAGTGGTGCTTTGGTTGGACCGCGACACGTCTTGATAGCGAGACACTGCCTCAAGGATGAACTAGCCGACACTGTTTCGTTTCAATCCAACTTCTTCGAAGGTCGGAGCGGAGGGATATCGTACGTGACGGACATCATCGTTCTGAAAGGCGTAGAATGTCACAAAACACCCAGAAATGAACAAGAGAAATGTCATTGCAAATTAGGTAACGATTGGGCTGTCCTAGTTCTCGCGGATCGAATGGGTGAGAAGCACGGGTACCTCGGGGTAAAAGGATTTGATACAAAGACAATGATGAACAAGCAAGCCTTTGTGAGCACAAACGAGAACCTGGCAAAAGAATGACCGCCGCTAACGTTGAACAGTCACACGTAGGGTATCCTACTAGGAGCTGGTATAATAAACAAAAGCCTATGCGGCAGGATGGAATAACCGTGCGGAAATGTTATCATTCTTGCCATATCTTTGGCGATAGGTTGATCACTGATGCAGATTGCCAGGCCGGAACATCAGGAGGACCGTTGTTTAGGATGGAAGATGGGCTGGCCTGGCAGTATGGGGTGGCGAGTTCACGCTACCTCACCAAAAGTATACCTCCTCAGGATGGCTGTGCTTTTGTATCGAGCCTCAGGTTTATCAGTGCAGTTGCCATGGCGCGGCAGCTGTTTCCTTAGTATCTCTAGCAATCAATTCCATTAGCAAGAAGGTCACGCAACTGTATACGAGAAGTTAATTGCGTCGATTAGCCCACGAAATAGCCTCCCTACTTTAGTCTGATCTCGATGCAGCGGTTCTAGTGGGCGTCATGGCCGCCCGATCAAGACAGTGACAATGGGAGATGCATGAGAGTAAGAGAACGGGATAATTGGAACAGGGAATGAACCTTCTTGCACACCTTTTCGCATCCACGGAGCGAGCCAGTGGCCGTGGCGAGCTGGACTAGACGTATTTAGACCCCCTGAACTGATGAACAGGCTTAGGACAACCACTGACCGCGTCGGAACATTACACCACTAGCACTAGAACAGTTATCACATCATGGGACCTGGCTTTTGGGACTGCAGAGACCTCTCGTACCCAATGAGCGAGAGTGGCCAAACATCTAGCTCTCTACGATGGAGGGATGCTGGACACCCACGGTCACAAGGCCTGAACGTCAAGCATAGCTGCAAACCACTCAGCAAGAATGCAAAGGATGCATCAAAAGCTAAAGAAGAAGTACGTGCTAGCTACACACTGAAGATATCAGAACTCTCGAGCGCGTCATGGATGTCAGTGACGGGCCACCACTTCAATACGAATGCCTTGTCTTGTGACTTGACGAGGTGCATGCTACCATTAAAGAAGGCTACCTAGAGACACGAAGGTATTGGCCGCTGTAAGAAGTAGCTGTGTGATTGGATACAGGCTTCTGTATCGTCGAAGATGCGCGTTAGGAGCGGCGAAGGATCGCGCGACCACTAGGTCTAGGATCACCACAAGCCACCGAGCAAGGGTAAAAAGCGAGCTGCAGCATCAACATGCCTTGGCCATTTGGAGGGACAGAGTGTCCCCGGCACATCAACGGTGTCGTCGAAGGGCATTTTGACGCAAAGCTCTCGGTCGTGGTGACTTGACGTGTCTCGGGCGACCGTTCAAGGAGACTGGCCTTCAGGCACGATTGAACTGACGCCCAAGATACGTAAAAAGTAACAGTGGCTTGTGGCCTGAGTGATCAGACCTGGCCTTTGGCGGTGATGAAGGATTCAGCAGCTGCACAACGGTTGCCCCTGGACACCATCCCGAACACCTTGACATGCCGACGGGGTTTCCGGCTACCCACCTACTCTCGAGACCAGTGAGAGTAGGGAAGACTTTGTGGCTTGCATAGAATCCAAGTTCTGAATGTGCTATAACATGGAGGGTAACATGTACTGCTTCGACATTTCAGCTCGGAGTCTCGAACATGAAGCCTACATTAGGCAGCGCCACTTGAGTGATCCTGGCTCATCTCCCGAGCTGCATAGAATCTAGAGACGCGTACTGAGAGGATCGCGATGAAAGATGTTCCAGTTGAGGAGCTTCTGCTTTGAGATGATGTGAACTCGTTTTTCATGCTGAAGATATCAGACTTTTGTGGACGCGAGATCTCTGTATTTATAATGAGAGATTTGAGTATGGATAACTTGATTCAGGTGACGATATAAGAGAATGAGGTATTGCGTACGACGTATATCCACTGGTGGACGATCTCGGATGCAACCGCTTTACGTTTACTCCATTGTTGTACATAGCCAGACGAGAAGGCTTCCCGGTTAAGCTACAGCCCCAAAAGAGGGGGCAGAAAACCTGAGACTTGCATTCATCGTCGATCACTCGATTTTGGTTGAATTTAGTCTCAAGTTTTCTGTTATCCCAAGGCCATCAACCATCAGCAATCTGCTTTGAACCTAGTTCCTCGGGGCCCCCTGGCATACAATCTCCCTGACAGATGATTGGACTTTGCATATCGTCATGATTTCCGACCAGGCCCTTGCTTGGCAAGCAAGAGGATCGGAATAGCGAGCCGTGTTATTATCTTGACCTGAATCTAGGTGAGGCTTGATAAGACTTCAGATAAAACCAGTCTATCATATCATATGAGTCAGAATGAACTTCATCAGCCTTCATCGGAAAGAGTAGGGAAGTAGTCTTCCCCAAGTTCGAGCCAAGCCGTCATTCCCCAACTTAGATGTGACAACATGCAGTATTGTTGGCGTTATCTCCGCTTGCTTCTTGGCCTCGGTCCCGACCCCATCCGGACCACGACAGCTGAGCCCCGAAACACTGGCGGGATCTCAATAGTAGCCTCCGAGACTCTTTGAGTCTTTCCCCAAGAAGCCAAGCCAAATTTACACTACACGACGCTGAATCTCACTACAGAGCCTCATCGGATGAAATAGGAACCTAAGAGCATTCCACGGGCCCTCCAGCAACCCCTCTAGGGAAATGTACGTTTCATCAAGGTCGCATTGTGGCTTTCAACCCTGGAGCAATAGAGTTTCGTCTCAAGGATGACGTGCCAAGAATACGAGTCCCCGTAAGCATCCGACTTGCAAACCAACAACATCCTCAAACCAATCCAGTAATTGCGCCGATGCCTTCGCTTAGAAAGACCATTAGTAAACCGTCTGTGCTCATCATCCCCAGTTATCACAGTGAGATACCCTTGCGGGGAAAGGGTAATCACTCCCGGTTCTAGCTGAAATAGCTGATATCCAGCAAAAGCCAAGACCAAACCCCAGGCGCCATAAAGTGGAACACGTCACAGCGCATTTGGAGCTGGTGCAGATCTGTAAGACACCAGAGGTGAATCCTTCGAGAAGACGTCTAGTGGGAGATCGTGTCGAAAAGAATCCGGGAAGGCGGGTTATCTTGAGCCTATCATTTGACACTGAGCGGGCGTCGAGTCGATAGTGTAGGCGGCTACTGGAATGTGTGTCTGAATAGGGCTAAGAACATGCATGACTAGAATAGCGGCAATTCTTCTAGAAAAACAACTTGGCTACATAGTACAAGATCAGCGAGCTTAAAACTAAACCCTAGCATCATTTCACCGGCGTATCACTGGATAATTACAGTGGCGGAGCATCGTTAGTGGAGTGCTAGTGCACAGCTCGCGGAGTAAACAGCCCCCAACCCCCTCAGTTGAGATGCGGGCACCGAACCGCTAGATCCCCCCCGCAGATATCACATTCTAACTAGTTAGTTATTAGACTGGAGCGGGAATCTTCGGAACGGTCTGGACTCGCCAAGAGGGGGTTCTGACACAGGCGCTATGATGCAATGCTCCCAAGTTGAAGCTGCGAGTTTGGTTACGAGGGATTAGGGTGGTATTCGTGACCCAATCTCTGGCACATCCCTGTTGATGCTGTGAGATGGGGCTTACGGTTGCATTGAGCTGCCTGCATGCCGTACCTCAGGTAGTCGGATCATTGTCATTGCGTAAGTTTGGTAGCGTAAACTGGGGGAGATTAAAGATTGAATCGACGATTCACTTACAGTAGCCTTATCTCTTAGACGCGATGCCAATAATGAGGAGAGTAGCCAAGGTGACTCCTCTCCTTGGCCAAAGAGGGTGCGGAGGCAGCCAAGTGAGTTGAGTTAGCGGCGTACCCAAGCTAGGCTCTCTCTTCATGCGGAGACAACTACCACCCTCACTCTTGGCCAACATCTAATGAATCATGCAAAACGATACACATTACCAAAACAATCATCTAACAACTATACTCTCCTCCATCGTGATGTGGGGGAAACGCTGCTTACATCTGAATCCCTGCTGCTCTTTACCCCATGTCTACTCCGCAACCTTAATCGTTAAGCTTATTCTCCTTCCCTGTTCGGTATAGCATGGCCTTGTTGCTGCGGGCGTACAGTTCTGGAAATCCCGCAGTGGGGAAATGACTTGGAGTTCTCGTCTAGCTGTCTAGCTTGGTATGTTAATGGGAGGGTTGTTTTGGAGCAAGGCAGTGCAACACGATTCTCCAATAAGAGATGAGACTAAAGGCTCGTGATGATAACGCCACTGAGGTTAGCCATTCTTCTAGAAGAAAAGAAGCACTCTAGCTGAATAACCCAAAGCTTAATGCATTCTCGTATGAAATCCAAGCTGTTAAACGCTCGGAACTGGTTTCTGTTGTAGTTTAACTCCTCTTGGCACCGTTTTCTAGCGCAGTGATAAGCCTGCTCGTAGACTAGAAGCGCAGACCATCTGTTGATCAAAGACACACAACACCATGACAGCTCCTTCATCCCTGTTCTCGCAAGACGAGTACTACCCCAAGTTCTTGGCGAGGTTCCCACACGGTCTAGACCAACTTAATCTCTGCTTCCCAGATCTGCCCTCCGAATTACACGGTCTACGGCCTTGCCGACTCCTACGCTGCACCCCGCAATGCGGGGGATGCTCAAGGACCATGGGGAACTTGGGGCATATCCCCAGGTTTTGTCGCTGTCAGGAAATGTCTATATAACTGTCCTTGAAGCGCCCATTATTTTGTTCTCATCAAGGCAGTCGAGCGCTTTGACTACCCAGCTACCTCTCTATCTTATAACTTCTTCACTTGTACTTCATCATGGCTCAACGTGATAGCAAGACCGACATCAGGGACGTCGAGCCCCAGATCTTTCAGAATGAGTATCCTGAGAAGATGATCCCTCGGGTTGAGAAGATTGATTACTCTGGTGCTCATGAGAAGACTGATCCTAAGGAGATTGCTCTTGTGAAGAAGCTTGATCGATGGATGATGGTGAGTAACTGATCACTAACACAAAAGACAAGTGTACTGATAATGATAGCCCATGCTTTGGAGTATGTACTGGCTCAACTATCTTGATCGCAATGCCATTGCCCTTGCGCGTCTCAATGATCTTGAGGAGGACCTCAACCTCAAGGGAACTGGTAAGTCTTATCTTCATATTTACAAGTCTTGACTAACAATGTGTAGAGTATCAAACCTGTGTCTCTATTCTCTTCGTCGGTTACATCCTTGGTCAAATCCCCTCCAACATGTTCCTCACCCGCACTCGTCCCTCACGCTACATGGTAAGCCTCCTCTTCCTCTAATACTCCCAAACAACCCGACTGACATCTCAGGGTATCATGATGATGCTCTGGGCCGTCGTCAGCGCCCTCACCGCCGTCGCCAAAGACTTCAAGGGTCTCCTCCTCACCCGCTTCTTCCTCGGTCTCACCGAAGCCCCCTACTACCCCGGCGCCGTCTATCTCCTCTCCATCTTCTACACCCGCAAGGAGGTCGCAACCCGAATCGCCATCCTGTACACCGGAAACATCCTCGCCACTGCTTTCGCCGGTCTCATCGCCGCTGGTATCTTCCACGGTCTTGATGATGTCGCTGGCATTGCTGGTTGGAAGTGGCTCTTTATCCTCCAGGGTGCTGTTACCTTTGTGATTGCTGTTATCGGCTACTTTGTCCTCCCTGATTTCCCTCTCACTACTAGGTGGTTGACTGAGGAGGAGAGACAGTTGGCTCATAACCGTATGGAGCTTGATACTGTGGGTAACAAGGGTGAGACTAGCACCTGGAAGGGTCTCAAGCAGGCTGCTAGTGATCCTATGGTTTGGATCTTCTGTGCCATGGCTCATCTCCACTTGGCTGCCAACGGTTTCAAGAACTTTGTAAGTCATTCAATTCCTCAATTGGGGCCAACTTCTAACAGATTAGTTCCCCTCTGTCGTCAAGACTCTCGGCTTCAACACCACCATCACTCTCGTCCTCACCTGCCCTCCCTACCTCATCGCCGGCGCCAGCACAATCCTCGTCTCATGGATGTCAGGAAAATACAACGAGCGAACCTGGCACATCACCGCCTCCAAGACCGTTGCAGTCATTGGATTCGCCTCCGCCGCCGCTACTCTCAACACAGCCGGTCGCTACGTCTGCATGGTCATCTTCACCATCGGAACCTACGCCGTCAACAGTCTGATCCTCGGTTGGTGCGGTTCTGTCTGCGGTCAGACCAAGGAGAAGAAGGCTGTTGCCATCAGCATGGTTACTATGATCATGAACATCAGCTTTATCTGGACTCCATATCTCTGGCCTAAGAGCGACGAGCCCAGATATGCCACTGCCATGGCCAGCAGTGCTGCTTTTAGTATTGGTACTGCCGCTCTCGCTTGGCTTGCTAAGATTATCCTCAAGAGGCGAAACCAGAAGCTCCGTGCTCAGGATAGCGAGACTGAGGTCTTTTATGTCTACTAAGAGATGTTGGAAATGAATTGATGATTGGACTTGACCAGAGTTTCTGGGAGAATGGTTGGATTTGAGCAGGAATTGAAGGATACAGAGATAGTAGAGTAGATATGTCAATACTTGGTCTCATTTGCAATATCAGACTGCTTTACACCATCATGCCCCGAGTCTCACGTGCATATTAATTAACCACTTAGGACGAATCAATTACTTGGTCGATATAAATTGAATGGCCAGCAACGCCAAGTAAAAATGATGCACGTCGTACTGACAAAATAAAATCACTCAAAAGAGCAAAAGGAATCTCCGGTCAGGGAATCGAACCCTGGGCTCCGCGGTTGATCTCTCAGGTTATGAGAGCGCGAAATGTTAGCCACTACACCATACCGGATGATGTTGCTTATACTTTGGCTCTCGGAATTAGGGTTTAGGAATTCTGAGCGGAGCAGGTATCCGAGAGATTGATTGTCGAGATGCCCACCCATGGTCCATCTCGCGAACAACACTTGAAAGGACTTTTGATATGGTCATTCCGGCAAGCGGAGGCGTGCGACCTCGCCAAAGCCAATGCCTTCGTGGACTTTGTACTCACATCGGCTCGAGGAACATTCACTAGGGCTTTTTTGTTCCTGGCGAACTCGCAAATGGTGTTCAGTCACGGTGACTACGCTAGCAAGCCAGTGACAGAAGCTATTCCCCGACAGCTTGGTTGTTGTGTTGGCGTTCTGTCCCAGTGTTGACTGGCTGAGACCGAACACACAAAGATCGCGGCAGGGCAGTTTACAGGCAACTGGATAAGAACCAAAGAGGAGACTGAACATGCTTGAGTCCTTGACAGTGAGAGCGACCGAGGTTGATTGGAATTTATTTTTCCATTCGCTATGTGATCAGAAGATTAGTCGTGTTTATCATTTTATACTATCTCCAAGACTATCTACACAACAACTAAAGTACGAGATATATCGCATGTTCTTCCCCAGAATGGTCATGGCAATGTCCCGAAGTCCTGTTCGGGCTTAAATTGCTATACATTTGAGGTTTTCGGTGAGAAGCCTTACGGAACTTGTTTCTACAGGTGAACATCACCATTGTCTCTCTCCACTGCTGCTATGGGCTGTATGTGCCTTGCCCTAAGAAAGTTATGGCCATGTTGGATGGGGGATGATTCATCATCACAACGCTCAAACGGCATGAGACTTGCAGCCCAGGCCACACCCCCCTAGCCTGCCCCCTGTTTACTTCCACTGCCAGTTTCAACCACTGACCAGGCAAACAAACAATCAAGCCGTCGCCAGTGGCATTGGACGCGTCCCCTTCTCGGTCTCTTACCTCGCACTTCGCATCCGATCAACTCTTCCTTCTTCTCTCTCAAAACACCAACATCACCCCAAACATATCCCACAAAACTCACTCTCTTATCTTTCCATCAATAACCCATCTATTTATTCTTCTATCATCCCAAGTCTTGAGGTATTCTTGAAACTCATACAAAGTTCTCATATCATCACAACATTCGGAACTTTCATCTTAACCGACATTTTCATTCATCTTCTTGGACAGCAGCAACAGCGCATCTTTCTTATCCGCAACATCACGAGGCAAGACTTCGATCATATTCTACCGATTTTATCAGCTCGTGGAAGCACGACAACTGAGTATCAACTTCGTTAACTCACGGAATAGTCCCTCTAGAGCACCCATCACAGATATCTCCTTGTTTGCAGATCTCCCCTTTGATCTCAGACACCTCTATCACATCTCGCACCGCCGCTGACTTTAGAGAGGAGGTGTTAACCTCGCCTTGATCAAGCACTGTCTGAACACCAACCATATTCCCCTGGCTCTACCGAAAACACATCTTCCATATTGCGGCACGCGCTTGACACACAGAACAGTCAGAAGAACAATTCCTACCTTTCTCATATCTTGTCCCTGGAACTTACGACTGAGTATTCTCAAACAAACTCTCTATCCTTCGACCTTTGATCTACGCGTCAACATTAACAACACCACCAATTCAGGTATCTAACCCCTACCATGGTAAGTCATTAGCCTTTATCAGTTAACCTATTGCCATTCTCATACCCACCATATCGCTCCCTGTTTCATAACTAACGCTACTTCTCTCAGATGGCGTGTCCGTTCTCCGAACTCCCGATGGAGTTAAAAGTTGAGATCATGAGCTACGTCATCCCACCCATGTCTAGTCCCATCGACAACTCTGTTCACCTGGAAGCCGCCTATGTCGCCGTCGGAGATCTGGCGTCCGTGTCCAAGGATTTCAAGCGGGTGGTTGAAACACTCCACCGCATCAAGGCCATCACCATCGATGAAGGAAAAACCAAGTTCACCATGGATCCCATCCGGGATACCCTCGTGGTTTTCTGGATGGATATCCCAAGCCCGAATCCTGACAATTCATGGATTCGATCCATGAAGGCGGCTGGCTACAAGGTAGACGACGAGGCGTTGCCTATTCGTCGGTTGATCGCATTCAGCGACTACCCGATGCTGCCCCCGTCGCAGGACCCTTCTGGATGCAGTAAGTCAATCATAAACCGTTGTATGGCACTCGCTAATCTTGGTAGTTTCCCGAACCACCCGTGCTCAAACCGTGGCCAACACTCTTCGCTGGAAGACTGAGCCTTTCGAGACCGACCTCCCCATGTTCTCGCGCTTCCCGTTCCTAGAAGAAGCCGTTGTGTCAGTATCAATGATGACACGTATGTGGCACATCTCCGGCTTTCAGATGGAGGGACCAGATGTTGTAGCACCACGCACGAACGGCGAGAGCTGGGGACTCAATCGCGTTGGGCCGCATAGCGTCACTGCGGCTCGATACTTCAAGGACAAGGGAATTCAGGCCGACACTGGAATCCCATGGGAGTTCCCTCGCTCACCCTTCTTAAAGCACCCTTGGTCATTCTTGTGGACCCACCACGCGACTCTTATCTCGCAGCCAGAAGATGTCCATCCACATATCGATCAGCATGCTACCTACATTCATCCTCTAGACCGACCATTTATTGGGCTGTATGGGTACAGCCGCGGAACCCGTTCGCTTGGAGGAAAGTGGGCTGGCTTCCGGTATCATACGAAAACACACAAAGTTCAGTTCTCTCCCCTGGCGTGGTACGAAGTAGAGCCGATTGTTCATCGGCTGGGATACGACCCCTCGCATGGTCGACCACTCGCTAACGGAGCCGATCCGCAGTTCGTGGCCCGGGTTTGGATGATTCGAGAAGGGGATGAACCAAAAGATGAGCCTCATCACTGTTGGATCGAGGTGAAGGAGCCAAAGCAGTACGACGCGAACAAGCCCTGGGAGCAGGATGAACCCTACGTGGAGGAGATCGCTACCACTTAGAAGTTGGTGCGAAGCACTCTTCTTCGTCGACATGAGCATGCTGGCTACACTCTCCAGATGAACTGAGGAAATGTCAGGGCTCAGGAGCATACAGGGATGTGAAAAGTGACGAAATCGGGTGACATTGACTGTTGTGTACATCATACGGACCCTCTCTAGAGATTGGGTCGGGAGCTATGGGCTGAGTCGGAGTCCATATGCCAACGAGACTTCCTGACGAGAGAAAAGGTATTGATGTTGGCGTCTGGATTGAGGTTTGGGAATGTGACAGTTCTTGCGTTTGGACTTTTCAGCTGCACGGTTGGCCTATATTTCTTGTACGAACCTTGTAATAGTAGCTGTTTGCAGGCCACCACCCGGAAGCCAGTTGGCCATTAGTCTAGATCATAGGATACTGGAATCCATGAAAGATGCGATTTACTATCGGAGATTGAGACAATAATTGCAGCTTGATAACTGCATCTAGCGTCTAAGTTATGGCAACACGTACCGTTAATTGAAAGGATAACGGTTTCCAGGAGACCATGGTGATTTATGGTGGTTTTGATTCGTCTATGGCGCGTGGCGTGATGTACGTATCAGCTGTCAGGTCTATCCACTCAAAATTACATGTGATCCATCAAGTTTGAAGTTCAAAAGGGCTTTTTAGCCATCGCTTCGTCTTGAAACTTATCGCCAGGGTACGAGTACATTCCAAATAAACCTCGCTACCATCATGTTTACGAACTCCTTTGGATCCTAGACACGACATGACACGGGCCCCAAGCACCAGAAGGGTTGGACTTTGAAGGGGTTATTTGGCCCACTGTCAAAGATGAAAACGGACACCATGACTACTTAAATGGCGTTTTCCATCGATGCAGAGGCAGGCGTCGCAACTCTGGCGACGCGGTTCGATACCGGGCTGACTTGACGACAGGGAGCGCCTTGAACCGCACAGAGGCTGTAGATCGCATGTCAAGTACCCGTTCAATAGTATAAACAAACACCATCTCAAAATGCCCAAGCTTTCTGAAATCTCAGCCTGAAACTCGTTAGGGACAGTCTAAGAAGCAGTAACGAGGGAATGGCCAGGCCGCTGTATATCTCAGCTACTCTCCCTAATCAGCGCATCGGGGCCGGAGCAAGAGCTACGTCACGATTCAAATGAACAGCCTTTTGAACAAGATCACTGGAATTGGCTCGTGAAGTGGCTTGAGTGCCATGATCCAAAGTTCAAGCAGAGCTTAGATTATATCCAAAGTTATCTCGCTGCGGTAACTCTTGCCCCCCTTGAGGCTCGTTTCCGTAAGTGTATGCGAGCCTGAAATAACATCCAAGGATATTCTCAAATCATGTCTGCTTCAAAGAACGTTTCCAAAAGATCGTGTCCTATTGCTTCGTTTTAGCCCATGTCTAGCCAGGAACATCGTGCAGAGGCCATAACGGAAGGGAATGAGAGCTTTGGGAATAATCGATCGTGTTAATCGCGACATATTTGATGCCAGATACCTGGTGTTTGCTTGTACTGTTTAAATGAATGGAGAATGGTGATGTATTCCAATTGACAAGGACAGGGGGCTCTCATCTATCTAAGGTGTAAGTCTTCCCACTTGGCATCCGCAGCGCCTAACAGTTCCCCATCCATGATTCCATGCACATAAGCCTCTCCAACGATCGAGTAACACTCTGGTATTTCCATGCTCCCTCTCCTGACCACGAACGGTACGCGCCCGCCAGACAGAAGAACCAGTTCGTCCCCTGGTTGACAAGACGGATGTGCGAGACCCAAGTACCCACCGTCTGTAAGGAAAAGTCTTCTATACCAAGAGATATGGTGCATAGTACTTCGATAGAGATCACCATCTTCATCGAGAGCCTCCTCCATTTGATGGTCCATCTGATGGTCATCCTTCAATATGTCAAGAATTGAGTCAATGCCAGGTGTCAAACTAGGCCTCTCCACGGCTACCCGCTGAGTATCGGACGAAATAGAAAGATGTTGCTGGAGTTCCCACCGTGCCTGCAAAGCAAATGCGGCAAATTTATAGCGCCAATCTTGACTGACTGGGTAAGAGCTTGCTCCAAAGCCGATATTCCCGACGAGCGTGCGCCAAAAGGCGTCAATCATGGGAAAGGACTTTCCATTGGTGATTGGGTACGGTGCACTGAAATCAACCATACTCGCCCACTTCTCCAAGGTGTTGTAGATCGACTCCTCTGCTGCAGGACCTATCTTAGATATCGCGTCAACTCTATACGCCGACAGCGTCAGGATATTTGGGTTAGAAGGTGAATGCTGAACACTGACGTCTCGTCCTACTGCAGCGGCATACAAGGTAAACCATCCAGGTCGCGGTGGCATACAGAGGATAGAGGCAACCTGATGCACGCTGTAGTCTGGAACCCAACTCGGAAGCTGTTGAATTTGCCGAAACTTCACATCTTCGACACCAGAAAGGATGTCCAGTGAACCTTGGCGGATGAGATGAAGAGTGACATCTCGAAAGACCTCGACAACAGACTTTCGGTAATCTGGTCTAAGAGCCGGTGGCAGCGCTTCTTTTCTCCCGCTCTCAGCTAGATTTGTCAGCGCGAATATCTTGTCCACTGGCTTCGTAGCTTTGAAGCGCCGTGTCGATGCTAGCAAAAGATCTAAGCTCTGATGCTCTCCCTCCTGATGTCGCAAACGACAGTTCATCATACCCGTGATGAAGCCCGCTGCCCCAGAGACGCTGTAAATATCGTGGAAGACTTTGATCCATGAGCTCTCAACGAGGAAAGTCGCGGCCCTCCCGACAACGTCAAACGGTAGCATCAACAGTCCGCAGAATATAGATGTCTTGCGTGAGACTGCGACTTCCTGGATGATCCAGGCTCGTTGAAACGCGGTTCGTGAGATGAACTGCATGAGAGAGCCCCATACTGGGTTATCGTGCTCTGGTAGGCCGATAGTCCTCATGAAGATAGGGTTAAGCAAAGCGCTCATTCCAGGCCGAGAACCTTCAGACTCAAGGAGATACGTCTCTAGGCGATACAAAGATGAAAGAAGATCCAATACTGCCTCTGCATTCTCTCCCGGCTCGCCGATCCAAAATATATCCATAGAAGCACGCTGGTAGATCTCACACATCTGCCCTATCTGCTGAACGCACTCGCCCGTATCGTCTTGGTTGATGCATATCTGATCAATCCAGATGATGCGCTCGCCGGCTGTTTCGCGGTAATTCTGGAGGAAGTTCCAGAGATTCAGGCTGACGTTCAGGTACTTGTCGTTGATCAGTACAGGCCGGAAGGTCTTGGGCAAAGACTCGTCGTGCCATGTATAGGATAATGCGATGTATGGAGGGGTCTCTTGCGCAGCGAGATCGACATCAAACATCCTGCAGCGAAGAATACCGGGGCCACCATCTGATAGGATCTGAAGTAGGCGGAAGCTGGTGGGGTTTCTGAGGCTCTGGTATGTTAATTTTGGTACTCCTTGAGGTACTTCAAGAACTTGCGGTTCCACGCTTGGGAAGATCTCCGATGCGCTGATAGGCTCTCTTTGCGATGCAGACTGAGATGACATAGTGATAGACCTAATTAGGGATTCTTCTGATCGGTTCTTCAACATGCTTGTGAAGTCTCAGGTGGATTCAGTGGGTCAACGAGAGGTGCTTGTTTACCGCTGTTTTGACTTAGACTTGCTTTCTTATGATATAAATTTTTAAGGACATAAACAATAACAAAGGGTAGTTCCTCTGACAGGGCATAGTCTTTCTGCGCATATCTGTAAAATGAAGGCGTGGGATAATGCCTTACCCCGCTTTGCGATATTGAGCTGTTCGCTACTCAGCCTTATGGCGCAGGCTTATTCTAAGAGGCTATGTATGACCAGCCGACTTCACCGCGTTCTCCGAATCCTGTCCGACCTGTCCAACGAAGCGCGTTCGGTCGGATATAACGGGGAACCGAAATATCGATCTGAAACTACTCGAACCACTTACAGAATGGCCATAATTAGCTACAGTCAAACACACACATCCCTCGCAATACCTCTCACCCCTTGTACATCTTGACTGTAACACAATTCAGGCTATTTGCACATTCGTGCCGTTTAACCTAGTTAGACAGGGAAAATCGGACTTTGCTGTGGGACTGTATTACGTGTACTAAACTATATAAAAAGGGGCACATTTAGAGCAATGGATAAGAGTATGATTTATATAATTAAACTGCCCAGATTAAGTATAAGAATAGTCTAATAGTAGACAGTCTGTATATTCATAATAGAGACTGTCTCTTGAGTAGGAACTATAAGTATGTATATTTATTTCCAGTATGAACGCTCAAGCTAGTTATTAAAGGTAAGAAAGTGGAAGCCTGCGTTTCGGCAATTGAGTTAAACTTTACCCTGGAACCGAGCCTTCCGGCAGTATCATGGTCCATGCCAAGGTATGGTCTGATAGTTATTATCTGCAACTAGTCATGCTGTTTCTAAGCCAATCAGTTACTTATATTACCTCCCGGGATTAACGCGTTCAACCTGTCTTTAAAATGAATATAAAAACGTGTACAGAGCCCAAGAAAATTAACCTCTATCTTTAGTTTACTTTGGTAAAAACTTCATGTGATCTGCCTTGAATAAATTCATCTCATATCATTTTTCCAATATCTACCTCACTTTTCGTAGTATGTTCCAAAAGTCCTTTATGAGATAGTAAGAAGTTAACACTAACAATACAAAAGCAAATTATGAAGCTCCTTTTAGCCATTCTGTTTGCCACGATGGCTGCAGCGACGCCTATCCTCGAAAAGCACCCTCGAGGGCCTGCTGAACCAAGTCGCTTGGATGTTCGCAGTGCAGATTGTGGTTACAGCGCATGCGATGGAGGCTGTGGTCAGTGTAGTGATGGTTCCAATGTGTGCTGTCCTTATGATTCCAGCGTTTCTTGTTATGTCTTTTCATGTTAAATGTCAACTTCTTATGTATTCTTAGAGAGACGAATTCCATACACTGCCTACTACTTCAGGCTTTTTCTGGTTGCTCTGTCCTCTGCACAAGCTATGTGGCTAAACCAGGGTCGAATACTCTGCAATTTCGCGAGCTCTGGTACATATAAACTGCCGATCTTGCCTTCAGTGGCGCCATTGAGCCGTTACGACTGTACATAGCTCGAATAAAATTAATATATATAAATTATAACTATCAGAATTCAATTACTTAAAAAGATAGTGTTCAGAATTCTGCGGCAAACGTAATCCGCATTCTAAAAATGCATCGTCGCAGCGAAGTACCGGCGGTGCTTTGATGGCGCTTGATCTACGGAAGACAGAACGAGTGTCTGTCTGCCTTGGGAAGCGGAGGGCCAGGACAATTGCCAGCATCGATGCGAAAATTTGGCACGGCGTTGGGTCTGGGCACCAATAGAGATCGTAAATGGTCGCGGAAATTGGCCGCGAAGTGACGAAGTGGTTTTTGGGAGTGGCAGAGCAATTAGTTAGTTAGGTTGTAGTGGATAGGTGGCTAGCTAGCGCCACATCTCGCTATGTGATAGGGGTCTCTGACCTGAAACTCAGTGAACTTTATAGACCATTTATCGCAAGAGCAAGTCGCTAATCGGTGGAGCAGTAAATTTACAGGGCATTTATCGCAGGAGCAAGGCCACAGACCTGAGGAGTAGGCACGTGTCGGTTACGCAATTGGTCAGGTGCCATCTCTTTTTTGATGTGACAGAATGATCGATCTCAGACCGGATTTGGATAGCCAGGGTTGGAGGGGTTGGGTGAACGAAATGTCTTCTTCAGACCAAGCATCTTGGTCCAAATGTCCAAGGCAACCAGACTGATTGAGTGTAAGCAACTTATTGAAGCTTGCACTGTCTCTACAGAAATTAGAAGTGGCGGTCAAGAATACAAAATGCAAGCAAGGCCCTGTCTCGGTGCATGAAAATGAAATGCTTGTGTAACCATTGTGTTTTTCTTCACCATCAGCACGATCATCGTTGTGGGCCGTGTCGGGAAATCGAAGCGGACGTCTCCCCGCGGATGCGCCATATCGCGCCGATCCAATTGAAAGCAGGCCTTCAAAGCGACAGATTTTGTACGGGCGCACGAAGGAGTACCATCTGTTGGTTGTTGCAAGAAGATGGACAAGGAAAAAGAAAAGACGGCGGGGATAACCCCTGTCAAGTTGCCAGTGCATGGTGTAGCCGTTGTAAAGCCCTGTCTACGCTAAAATATGTATTCACCCAGAGGCCGAGACTGGCGTGAGGGGAGGGACAAATCAGGATGTGAGATTCGCGACGGAAGCAAACGGCAGCGTACCGCGCTTATGGCCCGCTTCATTTCCTTTCCGTTTACTCCGTACTTTCAACCGTATTACAGTGACTGACAACGCTCTGACTGCGGGGAAGCAAGCCTAGGCAAGCCACAGGCGCGGCCATGAGCCATATCAAAGGCAAAGGACACTCGATTAAGAGATCTAATGCTACTCAGGCTCTGAGATTGCTTGGGACTCAAGTCTTGCAGTGCACTGAAGCAGATCTCCAGCTGAACAATAAGGCTGTAGACAGTTACTTGGCAGAGCAGGAGGAGAAAAACAAGCATCGCAAGGCTTCTACCATGAACCTCGCACATGCTCCCCAGACGGATGAGATACACATGGCTTGGTTCGGTGACGACGACAAGGGCTATTGCCTGCACGCCTTTCTGGTCATGCCATTCTTCCCGCGGCCCGGCGATGGCATGGATATCCAATCTGTTACCGAGTCAGACCTCAATGTCGATATCCCCGCTTGTTACAAGCTTAATGAGACGTCTGATGGGTATGATTGGGCCGAGGGCTACGAGGAGCACGGGAAATATGCCAATAATAGGGTTTACCCGATAATGTGCCTTGTTGGTGAAGCCCCTCACAAGGTCGATTGGCTTCCAGTCTGTCACTTTAGAAAGCTCGATCTTAAAGACGAGGATCTGGAGGACAAGGACGTTATCGAGGCGTTCATGAGCAAAAGCACGACAGGCAAGTGTGGTTGACTACAGTCCTATTCTTACCTTACTAATAAAACTATATACAGAACATGGAAACGATATTGCAGATGAATCTGAAGATCTGTACGAAGATAGTACTGCTGGCAATAACGATGTACCGACCTCTAGCCGGGATAGACAGAGTCCTATTGGCAGGGCATCTGAGAACGTCAGCACAGACCAAAGTATCCAGCCTAGGTCGACAGCAGAGGACCCTGAGAGCAGGTCGCCTGAGCCGGACCTCCCGACGCAAGTGGTAAAGAACGAACCCGCAACTGTAGGACGCGGAGATGGGGCTACAAGTCGGGCGGGCCAGCCTACACGGGCACGCCAGCCGTCCGTTCAGCGAAGATGGCCAGCAGCACGAAAGGGTCCTCCCAACATGGAAACTTTAGATAGCAGTGACAGCGAGTGACAACAAAGATCGGGTTGACGGTGTGGCGTGGATCTACGGGTAATTGCAAGAACGAGGCCGACTAAAGTGGATGAGACGTGGGAGAAGAATTGCGAGAGATGCATGTTTAATTAGGGACCGTATTTGGATCTATCGATAATCTTCTTGAATTTAACGAGTATCGGCTTCGCTGCTTTGCAGAAGTATCTAAGACTTCGACCTCTCATCCTCAGCTGCCCGTCTCCATTTTGCGCCAAACTTCCACTGAACAGCCAAGCTCACTACTGCAACAGCCTGCACCGAAACACAGACCGTAAACGCCAACCCGACGCCGATAGAGTTGATCATCGGCATAACAAAGCTCGTGCCTCCCGCGGCGAACAAGCATCTTGCAAGGTTCAGGCTCGCGCTGGCAGCGGCGCTGCGGTCGTGAAAGACATCGACGAGATATGTCATTACGACAGACTGCATGGAAACAGCAGACCAGCCCGTGATGAAAGTCGATACAATTGGAACCGCGATGTGAACCCGATGCGGATATTGAATGGTCCAGCCGAAGAGTAAGATGGACGCGCATTGGAGGAGGGAGAACAGGGGGACGAGGCGGAGGCGTGATGTCTCCAGTGGAAAGTCATTTTCCAGCGTCTTTTGCGTACTAGCAGGTTCAACGTCATCTCCCGTGATACTGCTCGTAATGCGTGCATCATGCCGAGCTTTAAAACGGCGGTAGTCGATGTTGAGTATCTTGCCGGTAATCAGTGTTCCCACCATTGAACCCACGCCATTGGCGATGAATGTGAGTCCGATCTGAGTTTCTGTGAGACCATATTTATCTTCGAAGAGACTAGACATGGCTGTGATGCTCATCTGCCAAACAGCATAATAGACTGCGAGGAAGACGATGATGGGAGCAGCTTGCTTGCTGATGAGGATGCGGAAGGGTCCTGTAATGTCGATGTGCTTTTTGGCCGCAGGCGATGTAGTGACTGCGTCATTATGCCAAACGACTTTGGTCGTCTTCTGATAAACACGTAGAGGGTATTTGGCTAAGTCGTGTGTAGGTTCTCGGCTCCCATTACCAACAATAGACCTCAACGTTTCAGGTAAGAGGAGAAACAAGAGAACCAGAAAAACACCGCTGTAGATGGTCAAGAACCAAAAGATAGATCTCCATCCAAGAGATCCAGCCAACGCACCGCCGATAATCGGACCAACTGCCACGGGCACCAGCAGCCCTGCTTGAAATACACCCATTAGCCCACCGCGATTGTCTCGGGTCGTAATATCTCCGATAACACCTGAGCCTATAGCAATTGTACTAGCACTTCCAGTGCTTTGAACACATCTCAGCACAACCATAGTTGCATAGTTCTTGGCTTCTGCCAGGCCGATACATGCTCCTAGAAACACAATGAAGGTGAGCGAGTATGCAACTCGACGACCCTTGACATCTGATATTGGGCCCCAGAGACTGGGGGCTAGACCTTGGAAAATAAGGTATGAAGTAACAGTGAGGTTGATCAATTCAATCGAGACATCGAGGTCGTGGGCGATGGTTGGGAGGGCTGGGAAATAAATGTTTGATGCGAAACCTGAGACTATGATTTAATTAACGGGGGAGGGTCAGATTGAGGATTACATAGGGACTTACATGTTGCCGCGATGGAGACAAGTGTGACAATCAAGGCAGTTTGGCGTTTGTCGAAGATGCTATAGGGCTGTGACGGCAATGGAGCCGTTGCAGGTAGTTCCGTGCCAGTCATTGTTTACGATATTTGATATAATATTTTGATGGAAGTTATCTATAATTGACATTTTCGAGGAAGTGAAGTTAAAGTCTGGTTTTATAGCGTAGATTGGCATCTCGAGATCATGACGCAAATACAAGGGCTCCTGGAGTTCGGAGTTGAGGGATACTACAGTGGGGACGTGGCGAACTCAGCTCCGAAGGACAAACCACTAGCTTATGCGGTATAAAGTAGCGGATTTAAGACCTAAGCCCTTAAAGATTTTTGTTTTTAGATAACTGCCTTGTCTAGTTTATGCTAATCCGACTTATACTACTAGGCTATTTGTATTAGTGCTTTATTTAGCTTTAAACCTTGTTGGTCAGATGCATGACCGCGAATCGTGATACTGCAAATTGTTTACATGTAATGGTTAGGTCTAACTGTATTAAACTAAGCCATGCTTAGGTTTATTGTTAGCAGATTATATAGGGCATATACTAAGTATTATTAAAGCATTATATTTCTTAATAGTAAATTAATACGTATTAGGCTTAGTTAATATAAAAAAGTATTAGTTAATAGCTAGTAAGCTAAGTTCTATCTAATACTAAATAAATATATATATATACTTATAGTTCCTTAGTAAGAATAATATAATATAAGGTTACTATTAGTCCTGGAGTAATATAGTCTTAAAGTACTATTAGTCTAATATTAGTTAGTCCTATCCTAATTAGTTTAATATTAGATCTTATAAGTATTAGTAGATATAGGCTATAGTATCTCTATTAGGTAAAATTTATAGGGTATAATTTTATACGTAATGTAACTGCTAAGGTTATAATATAATCTCCCCTCTTTACTAAGTCTTATCCCTCAGGCTATCTTATCTAACTAATACTAGTTTCTTTAGTAAGTCCTAACTTAAACCTTTTATTATTATATTATATAATATTTAACTGTATTTCTAAGCAGTTATCTTAAAAGGATTATAAAATCCAAACTCTTACACTTTTTATTAAATTTGCTAATAAAGAGGCTAATATGCCTTATACTTATTATTTCCAGGCAGGTAAGAAATATCTAATATCTTCTAATTTTGCTTACTGTAATAAGTATATTTAAGTAAAGAAGTTATATAATAGTACTTATATTATGGCTTCCTGTAAGTATTTATATACTATAGTATTTTTAGTCTTTTGCTAATTTATATAGTAATATTACTAATAAAATAAAAGAAAAAGCTAAAGAATAATAAAGATTAAGCTAGTAAGGATCTACTTAAACTTTATAAAAAGATAGCTACTTTGTAAGATTATTTAGCTGTAACTACAGGTTGTTTATTGTAGATTTATAAGATTAAGAGTTAGGTAAAAGAAAAACATTTTAAGGCTACTTATCAGGGTCTATAGAAAGTAAAGCAAGAAGATAACTTATTATCTATACTAGATACTTATAAAGCTACTATAGTTAAAAATCTTTAGGTTAATTATATTCTAGATTATATTAACTAGTTTACTTTTAGTTTAGGTAAGGATTTACTTAACGCTTTATCTTTACTTAATCTTAGTAGAACTTTATTAGGAGTTATTAAGCCTTAATAAGGTATTTTAGTAATTTCTATATATTTTCGTTTTCTAGGTAGTTTTTCTATTTTATTAAGTATCCTCTTTAGCTATTAACCTTATAAGTATCTTTAATTACTTTTACTTTATAAACTTCTAGTTTTAAGATTTCGATTTTTTATAGTTTATTGCCTATTTTAACTTATATTGTGTTTACTGCTAATTTAAGTAATAAAACGTGAAAGACTAAATAGAGCCTAATTTTCTTTAGTAAGTCTAATTTATAGTTATTTTTTAAGATTTTTTATAATACCCTGTAGGGTTTAATAAACTTATAGTCCAGTTTATAAGTTAGTTAATTTATTTTAATATTTTTTATAGATAGGTAAACTATATTTCCCTTTAAAAAGGTTAGTCCTTTTAACTATTTTGGGTTATAGTAGTTTTTTATTTATTTTTTAATAAATTTAAGTTTTATTTTTATTTCTTTATATAGGTTTTTAAGGTTATTACTTTTAATAATAGTGGCTAGGTTAATTGATTTTTCTAGTTATACATTATAGTATATATTTAGTATAAATTCGAAATTAGCGTAAGCTAGTATAAGCTTTGTGCTTTTATTATATGCAGTATTATAGGCAAGTTGGGCTATTAGTAACTTTTTGACCTAATTATCTTATTTATAGTTAATATAACACTGTAGATACTATTTAAGTACTTAATTTATGTGTTTAGTTTATCTGTTAACTTGCAGTCTAAAAGCTAATATAAGTTAGTAGTTTAGTTTAAGTCTTGCTATAAGTAATTACTAAAATACTAATATAAATATAAGTTCTTTATTAAAAAGAATTTCTATAGGGAGGCTATATATACTAATAATATAGCAGTAAAAAACATAAAAAAGTTATTTTATATCTATTGCTTCTTAGAACAGTAAATAGTATAAGAACTTTATAAGTTAGTTAACTATAACTATAATACTATTATAAAAGATTCTAGTTAAGAGGTCTTTAGATAAGGGTAACTTTATAATAAAGTTTATTGTAATTAAGTCCTAAGGTTATTATACTACTAGTAGTAATTATAACTATTTATAGGGTTTATATCTTTATGCTTTTATATATAAGTATAGATTATATTACTTAATAATTTATTTAACGTTTTTTCTTTTTATAGTATAACCTTACTTCTATAGTCTTTTAAGTATCTTTATCACTCCTTAGTATCTGTATAGGGGGTATAAATAAAATTCGTAAAGGAAGTTATATTCTTATTCTGTAGTAGTATTAACGTTACGTATTATTTATGCGATTATTTTAATAGGTTAGGTAAATCTATATTCCCCTTATTTGTTCTTTTCTAGGAGTTATTCCTTAATTTTAACAGTTTCTATATTAAAGTTATATTATTAACTAATAGTATCTGTATATCTATTGTTAGTTCTCTTGCAGTATGCAATTATAAAATTAAATTTATATAGGTACTTAGCATAGTGTAGTTATTGTTGGTTTAATTCTTATGTTATAGTAAAATAGGTAATATTTTTATAGTCTGTAAATACCTTAATTAGGTAGTTATTTCCTTTAAGGTAGTGTTAGAATTCCTTAAAATAGTTAATAATAGCTAGGAATTCTTTATTATAGATAGGGTAGTTAAGTTCTACTCTATATATCTTATAAGAGTAAAAGGCAATAAGGTGCAATATACCGTTATTATCTTATTATTTAAGTTATCCTCCTAGGGTAAAGTTAGAAGTATTAGTTTTAAGTTTAACTTACTAGTTAGGGTTAAATATAACTAAAACTAGTTTACTAGTAATAGCTTCTTTAAGTTACTTAAAAGCTTATTAGGCTTTTTTATTCTATTTAAATTAGGTTTTCTTTTTTATAAGTTCTATAAGAGGGATTACTACTTTACTAAAGTTTTTAATAAATTATTAGTAGTAGTTAGTAAATCTTAAGAAGGATTATACTTCCTTAACTAAGGTTAGTTACTTTTACTTAGTTACTATAGTAATTTTTTATTTATCTATTTTTATCTTATTATATAAGATTTCATAACCTAAGTATATTACTTAGTTCTAATAGAAATGGCTTTTTATAGGTTTAATAAGTAT